TGAAAAAGTGACGTTGTACCAGCACCTTTTAGTAGTTTCCAGATGTGTGGCATCTGACAAACTGTCTTTCTTTCTAGGATCCTAAACGTGAAATAGAAAAGGTGTTACAGTTTCTGGGAAAGGACTTGAAGGAGGATGTGGTGAATAAAATCCTCCATCACACCTCATTCCAGGAGATGCAGAAGAACCCCACTGCCAATTATAAGATGGTATCAAAAGATCATATGGATCACAGTGTGTCTCTCTTTATGAGAAAAGGTGAGAGCCCCCTCACAAGAATTATAGGTGGGTTTACAAGAAAGAGGAATGGCTGGTAACATGGAAGCAGGGCCAATAACAGCTATAATCTGAGGAAAAGCCAGCCACTAGTTCTGCTTCCATAGGTGGGGAAAATCTCAGGATCCAAGTTTGATTCTTTACCAGACAAACCTGGCTAATAATGGAGCTGCCTAGGAAAAACACTGATCAAGGAGAAATGGAACTAATGGGGAATTAGGGTGAAAAATTGTCACCATTTAACCAAGCCCTAGTGAGATCTCTGAAAGAGGCAAGAGACAGAAGGGAGAAAGTAGACTATAGATTGAATCATTCCTTTGTTTTCACAGATTTATAGGCCAGAAGGGACCATTATGGTGATCATCTAGTTTGAACTCCTGCATAACACAGGCCACAGAATTTCACTCAGTGATTCCTGGTTTTCTCCTCCAGGTATTGCGGGCGACTGGAAGAATCACTTCACCGTGGCCCAGAATGAGGCATTTGACACAGATTATAAAGACAAGATGAAGGGATCAACACTGCAGTTCCGAACGGAGATCTGAAGCAGCAGTAGCTTCCTTCCCCCATCTGGCTTAGGTGTTTTGTTGGCTTGAACAAGGGAGAAATTGAAATTAAATGGTGGCACCAAAGCAAACAGCAACTGTTAACTACTTTAGATATGATTTTTTCCATATGTTTCTATTTTTGTGGGGTCTTCAGTTCCATAACTGCCATTTGGATAATGCAGATGGGACTTCAAGCCCCACCCCTCTGGACTGTCACTAGACTCAGTGATGGTTTCAGCTGTTGTGCGCTGAGATTCTCACATAACCACATGACTCCAGGGGCTGTGGCTTGAAGAAAACCCACCAAATATTATGTGTCTTGTGGTAAAATCACAAGAGATGGCAACACTGAGGTTACTCCACCAGAGTGATTATGCAGCCACTATCATTAGCAAACAACAGCAAGCTATCGTCGGGAATCTTGGCCTCAGTTTTTAAGGTCTCATCTACAAGGCCCTACACAGTAAACTACATGGTACTGAGTTTATCTACTATACCTGAAAAGCTGAAATGAGCCTGCTGTGACTCAAACCAGCAGGTTCCAGAAAGTCTAGATATGCCAAAACTGATGTGTAGACCATTAGGTGCTTTGAGATGAAAAGCACTGTAAGCGCTAGATATTAAGTGATGCCCTGCAAAAGAGTCTTTCATTCAAATTGCATATGCATGTCAAACAGGGCCGGCTTTAGGCCAATTCCCCCGAATCGGGCCCCATGCATAAGAGGGCCCCACGCCCTAAAGAAAAGCACCTAACTTAGGTGCCTTTTTAATTTTTTTACTCACCTGGCGGCGGTCCGGGTCTTCGGCGGCACGTCAGCGGCGAGTCCTTCAGTGCCGTGGAAGACCCGGAGCGAGTGAAGGACCCGCTGCTGAAGTGCCGCCGAAGACCCGGACAGCCGCTGGGTATTCGAATCGGGCCCCGCACTTACTAAAGCTGGCCCTGATGTCAAATGTGCCTGCCTATGAGCACACACACAGATTAAAGGCTGTAAATCTGAGTTTGCTTTCCACTACATTTGTCAATGCCAGTGAACCCCCATAATGTCTGGACAGGGGCGGCAGGTTATATGGACTCGTGGTGCCCGAGCACCAGGAATATTCAAGGCTGGGGGCTGTGCTCCACCAATATCTGGAGCTGGGTTTCTCCCCTGGACCTGCCTGGAGTGGGCACCGGCCCCTGCTGCCACCCCCCCGGCCCCGGAGCATCCCCCCCGCCCAGTAGCGTAGCTGAGGGGGAGCGGCCGCTCCCCTCTGTGCACATTTTCCAAAAGCGGCGCCTTTCCAATTTCCAGGCTGCCAGCACTGGGCTCCGGACTCGGAGTCTAGACTAGTTTTCAATTGCCTGCTAAATGCTTCAGCCATGCCACCTTTTCACTTAGCTATCTCCTGAATAGTGGTGCCTGGGAATGGGGGGGGGAGTGTAGCAGATGCCAATTTGAGGTGAATAGTCTCTTGGCCAGATTCTACTGGGTTTATGGTGCTTTGTGCTATGGACTGGAGCAAAGTGGCTGGTGAATAACCAGGAATCTGGTTAATAATTGTTCTCTAAATTCAGCTTTCTTCTTTCTCTCTCTGTGAATTATCACTAATTCAAAAGAGTAGTGTGCAAGTTGA